GACGGGGGGATAAAAAGAATCGAGTGGGCTCGCGAAACACTGCAAAACGCTTGCGATTTCGAGCGTTAATCAGCTTGAACCCGTTGCCCATGAATCCGCGAACGTTGGTGCGTGTGTCTCATTGGATGAAAGCTGACCGGGTCAAAAGGAGGAATTAACGTTCACGCAATACGCCTATCCCCGATGCTAGACAACGTAATGCCTCGTTGTTTCACCTGGAAGCTTGTCCCTTGCCGTTCGAGTTGCTGAATCGCTGGGGAAAGTAGGTAAACTGTTCAAAATTTGACTTAAGGGGTCATGCTCAGTCAGAAATTTTCAAAAAATTGATTTTTCACTTTCTACATTTCCTTTAAGTACAACATCTCGAGAATATTCTGTGCAAGTTTCAAAGTAATCCAATTAAAAATGACAGACTTACAGGCGTTAAAAAATGAACATTTTATATAAGTGTAAGCTTGACTTGAAACTTTAAACGCGTTTTTCTCGAAACTACATTTTTCAAATCAGTGATCAATATTTCTCGAAAACTACTCTGTCGATTTACATGAAACCTTTTGCGCCTTATTTCAAATCAGAAAAATTTGTCCTTGAACAAAGGATTTTTTTTTCGTTCCATACTTTTTTTTTAATGGACCAAAAAGGAATGATTTTTTAGGTGAAAATCGCACTTTTTCAGGAAAACGTCCGCTATTTTGTTCCTAATCAATATTTCGAAAAACCCCACGTTCAAGGATAAGATTGGTTCTTCCATTACATAAATCTTACTGAATTTTTAATTTCAGATGAACCGTTACGAAGTTATAGTCATCACGGCAGACCACTTTTTGTGAAGAGACATCCGGGAGATCGCTCACGATTTATTTACTAATAAATATTTTGAAATAAAAACGTTACCTTATAATCTATAAACTGCAATCTTTGAAACACAAACACATTTTTTGAAAAAGGTCTTACAGTTTTCGAGAAAAAAATTCCCAAAGAACACTCTTCTTTCGGCCTCCTGACTGAGCATAACCCCTTAAGGACTCGACGTGGAACATCGCGAATCTTTAAGTTCCTCTGCTTAGTAGCATCAAAAGCAAACAGCCGGTTGCAAACAGTGTGATTTTTTCGCTAGTGGAAGCGCGTAAGTAAGAAACACAAGGTAACACTGGATGTCTGGTCATTTTAAATTCTCTTTTAATTGCCACCGGGACGGAATTGCTGCTATTGTTTAATTGAAGTTCATGCCGTTGTCTGTGTGTATTGCCTTCTAATCTGTAGTCCCGAGACGGACATGGAATCACGATTTTACGGCCGAACTGTAAATTCATAGTTGCACATCCGGTGTTCTTGAAGACCATCACGCCGTCGTAGGATGAATTGGCGAATTTCGGTGTACAAGATCGGGGACGTTCGCCGTTGATCCTGTTTACGGTACAGTAATTAACAAATAAGCGTCCAACGCGAGTAGGTCTTTTATTTAATTTGTGATTTAGTCGATCATCGCCATCCACAGAACGATGTTACACCCTGATTAATTGCAATGAAAATTCTGTCAGCCTCGTGGTTATCGCTTTATTATCATTAATATATCAAAGTGACGCACGATTGACTTCTGTTCACCGTTACTTTTTTGAACAGTTCGTTTGATTTCACCCGTGGCCCGTGGCTATTCCAAGTGACATTTATGCAAATGCCTGAATAGAAGGCCAAAAATACTTCGGACCACAAAGGGCTAATTGTTCCTCGCCCAAGCACGAAGTTCTCGCCTATATCATGTTGCATTCGTGTTGTTCGATACTTTGAAACCTCCCCCCGCGCGCGATTCACGTGCAGATGCAGCTCTGCACGGCTGACGCGGCCTAAACGCGGGCAAAGCATTTCTCGGCCAATCATTAAGGACGTACCGGCGCCCCGGGCAGGAAACAAAAGGGAATTATTAGCTGTTCTAACGCGGACTAAACTGATTATCCTCGACGAGGGCAGACGAGGCGCTATTGTCACAGGAAGAATAACAGGACGGGACACTTCGTTAATTGACGTATTGTTGACTTCGCTCTGGTGTGGCGGGTGTTCGCCGGTGTCCACGGGGTTGCCAACAAGCGGATTGATTTCTCTCTGTCGTCGTTTAACGGCGACAAGGAGGACCGCAGGCCTGGGTTAACAGTGTTCGCGAGTCGTATCGGACACTCGACGTCTCTCCGTTCGTTTGTAACCGCGGTTACCGGTACAGAGTCTCCGTAGTTCGTTGTAATATCGGCCTGTTTGTAATTTAACACTGTGCTGCTCGCTACTTGATAGTATTACTAGCAGCGAGGCTTCCTGTGTCTATGGCGGTAAAGCGACACTTTAGAAGCAGGAAGTGTATTACGATAATGTTGCGGAAATTGTGTAGACTCGGCCGCTTTGACGTCCCGATAATATAATGTGGATGGGCTCGTTCGGGAGTCGCGATGATCGATAGCGTGGTTTTATATGAAACATCGACGTGAAGGGTGATTTGGGTAGGAAAGTGGAAATGGGGAATCGAAATATTGTAATAGTTCAGTTTGTTAGACGATTGAAATATTATTTAATGTTATCTCAAACGAGCGAGCGAAATAACGATGTGTATTTGTAGTTACAGTTACTGCTTACTTTTGAGTTATAAGAACCTTTGAATTCTGACTATTCATTTGTGTAGTTTTAGCTTGTCGAAATTGAAGGGATATTAATATCAATAAAAAATAAGGATCGCTTCGAATGTTTTGTAATCTTCTACTATAATATAAAAGTGTTCAAGTTACACATTAGAAACTGTCATGTACGTGTAACATTCGTTTTTCACTGCATACCTAATATACAGGGTGGGACAATAACTATGTCCACTTTGAATATTGCCGTTATTTGTAATAATATGAAAAAATATTATATACAAAACTAACATAGTGTAGAGGGGGGCATATTGTGACACAAACATTTTCTGCGTGGGTGAAGGCATAGAGGAGATGTCAAGGTCATCTCTATTTTTTTTAATGGAATGCAATATTTTTTTTATCGCGATGTGACAGCCGGTGTTGAGACGACTTCAGCGAGCTATCATTGAAGGTCCTGCAAGGTCAAATGTGGTAGTAAAATAAACTTTCTTACATTACAGGAGATGCTGCAAAGTTGCAATCTTTGTATCGCTGCATTACGTGCATGTCTTATCGTCTCTGAACTTATTCTAGCACATACTGCAATTATGATGCAGCGATACGAAGATTGCAACTTTGCATTGACGCAAACGGTCACCACTTAGAGCATCTCCTGTAATGTAAGAGAGTTTATTTTACTTCCATATTTCACTATGCATGACCTTCAATGATAGCTCGCTGAATCGTCTCAACACCGGCTATCACATCGCGATAAAAAAAACATAGCATTCTGTCGCGTCCGTCCGCGTGGATTTCTCTTTCGAATCCGCCTGGAGTTGTAAATTCCAGGCTCGACCGTCGTGGTACGCGTCCGGTTGCGACTGTTGTCCGCCAAATTAATATTAGGCAACTGATTCAATATTCTCTAGTGAGAAAAACTAATAATTGCTCGACCGTTGGAGCTGACGAATCGTGAGGTGGATGTTGTCGAATGAATTGAGTCCGTGTGACTCTAGTCGTAACGAGTACGTGCTTTCGAATGATTGTTGTCGAATGACTGTTCGATTACGAATTGAGTCCGTTTGACTCTTGTCGATACGAGTACGTGAATGTCTTGAGTCCGTGTGACTCTTGTCGAACGAGTGTGTTTTGCAAATGAATGTTTGCGAACGAGTGTTTTCGAATGAATCTTTTCGACTGAATGTTTTCGAATGACTTTCGAGATTCGTGACGTCGCGCTCCCTCAAAGTTCGCTGAAGGCGTTACCAAAACTCGCCTCCTTATTGGTTATGCCCTGAAGGGGAAGGCAAATTTCTCGGTTTTTCCAAGCGACGTGGAGGTGGAATACCTCTCCTTCAGGGCGAAGCGGACGTCAGGAAAATATCGCGTACGTAGTCACGGTGCGAGTTGACCGCGCCGAATTTTCGAGTCTCTCAACGGTAGGGTTTATGACTATATTGTCTGCGAGTCAGCGCGCCCCGGTAAGGCCCGGCGCGGATGGGTCCCAGGTTACCGAGCGCATGAGGCGGACTGCAGACCAAATGTTCGCTTCTTTTGTCTCTGATTCTCTTTGTCAACGAAATCGAAATTGCAAGGGGTCGGTCTTGAAAATATATAAATTGACTGAAAGAAGGAATAAAATAATAAAAAGTAACGGTACTGTCTGACTGTATAGCCGTCGTTTCGGTCTACGACGGAACACTTACCATTACAAAAAATAGAGATGACCATGAAATCTCCTTTATGCCTTCCCCCACGCAGAAAATGTTTGTGTCACAATATGCCCCCCTCTATACCGTGCAAGTTTTATATATAACATTTTTTCATATTATTATAAATAACGGCAATATTCAAGGCGGACATAGTTATTGCCCCACCCTGTATATCGACAATTTTTATGAAATTCTAGCTTAGCCACACTAAAAATCATGTCGTCCTACCTATCTAGATACAACATTTCGAATAACGAATAAAAGGTCAAAAAAAGTATTTCGCCATTTTTAATTAACTAAACGCGGTAAATCCAATTTTTACAATAAAATAATATTTCTTCTTAAATGAGTAGATATTTGGCAAAAACTTATTTAATCTCATAAACTATTTCGAGGTAAGAATGACGATCTTAGGTACTGCTACTTTTCACCATGTATTATTCGAATAAAATTGAGCCTCTCTCTGTCTGAACCTTCTTATAAAATCAAAGTTTAACGATCCCAGGCTAACAAAGCAATCGAACAGGTAACCATCGGTTCCAGCGACATAAAGAGGGCACCAAGGTTGAATTGTATCGCGGGATAATTCGTTATCAAAAGTGGACGTGACGAATCGTGACTCGGAGCGATTGTACGAGCACGTCTTATTTAAAATAGATACATGGTTCGACTGTAATAACAATGTCGTTACCGTTCCGAAGGCCCCTTCGGCGAGTTTCGAGAGCATGCGGAGGCGATGCCGTGGGAAGAGTGGGACGCTCGTCTGCTCCAGACGTCTCTTCAGGGCGGAGAGCACCTCCTGTTGAGTCGGCGACTGAAACAGCAAAGAACATTACATCGTTCGTGGGTATCCGTCGATAATCAACGATCTATGATCACGCTAACCGCGCCAAAAACATGGGGGTGTAAAGGGGTTTGGCGCGGTCAGGTCGTCGGATGAATTATTCCGCCGATCCCCGGACCCGTAAATTCTCCATGATCTATTGCACGATCCCGACAGACTTATAATAATTTAAGTGGCGAAATTGCTGCTATAAATTTCGACCAATCCCTTATTAACAAGTTTCTACGTCGTAGACTCTGGCGGGGGACACTTTCGAACAGTTTCGTTAAAATACACACAAAATAGTGAAAATTGATGGAAAATTCAACAATACATGTTCGATAAATATTATGTACTTGGTAGTTAAAGTACATCTCTATTATACGGCATTTCTCTGGAATTGGAAATGTTCTTATTGCTATGATCTTTAAATCCCCTGCCACGATCTTTGAAATTACGTGACCAACAATTAAAAGGTAAGGTGAAAATAGGGAACGTCCTTTTTTAGCGATTTTACGATGTACAACGCATTTTGTTGGTGGCAACTGAGATCGTAGAAGTAGAAATGCCCATATAAAATAACGTTAAAGAGTACTGGTCAAATACTGGCGGATCAAAGTATCAAAAAGTTGATGTTTTCACTCAAACTGTTTTATGGTATTTTTGTTTTCCCCTTATCTATAAGGATAGGGGGATATACCCCTATTAATTGTTAATATTCAATTGCATTTTCATCTCAGGAAACAGAAAGCAAGTGCATTATCAAGACCCGTGTAACACGAAAAATGCTTAAACGCTGATACAGAACAGTTTTATATAAGTCCAACCTAAAATTTGCAATAAACAGTACAATATGAACGGTGTAATAGCGTTGTTAACATTCATGTACAAAAATTTGGATTATCCGCCCAAAATTATACTAGTTCTTGCAACGATTCCCCGAGGATGTCAATTGTTCCGTAACGTTCATTGTCATGGAACAAGGTACCATAAAAATGGAGACCGTGATCTCGACGAGTGTTCCGCCGAAAGGACCAATCGTACGTGACGGATATAACTTCCCACGTCGGACCATTGTACAGCTATATATCGATGGCCCAGCCCCGTTTTCGGAGGACACCCGTTTCGGTATAATGACGGATCACACGCGGGAACAATGATTGGCGTCGCCCAGGATGCGTCAAGGCCAGGCCCGCCGCTTCTGTCCCGGAATGTTTTGACTGTTTCGAGTGGCGCTGTCGGGTGTCAATCACCCGCAGACAGTCCTGACGTATACGACCACTTTCGCAAGCATTGTGCCCGAATCAATCTAGTTGCACCGCGCGGGAATCGTAGGATCTATTTCGAAATCACTTTCGTCCGGGTTGGATACCTATGTCGCGTCGCGAAGTAGCGGCTAAAGGACCTCATCCATCTAAATTGTTTTAGTATTGCCAAACCCTGCGAATTTAGATTTTTGTACAACTGCAAGTCGTATGCGCTTAGGTAGTTCTATGATTCTTTGACTAATTTTTAACAAAGGCTACTTCTACGAATTCAGGATCACGCGCTAGGACAAAGAAGGAAACTTCCTTGGTCATTTTCCGTCTCGCTTGGATGTGATCCACCTACAACGTCGAATCGACCAATTAGCCTTAAGGGGACTAGGCCGTCAAATTTGGCAAAAATGTAACATTTCTTTGGTAATTAATTACAAGGAAATGAATACAAATCGTAACTAGTACGTTTGAGAAACATTTATTAACACTATAAGCTGTAAAAATATTTTTGTGCTTAATATACAGGGTGTCTCAGCAAACTCGATCACCTTGAGTAATGACTTAACGGTACACTTTATGAAAATTTTCAGGTGTGGAACTTAAATGACATCAAGGGGCACAGCTTATAAGGTACGTGCTTTTTTTGTAGGTAGAGGCATTCAAGAGATTCCACGGTTACCTTGATTTTTTTTAGCGGACCTTTTTTTTGTAACATGGATCAATAGAGTATCGATTTCTGAGTACTAACGTGTTGATCTTCGTACGTCCTAAACCTAATAGTTAACTAGATATTTACAAAATAGTTTTTAATACATAGGTACTTACTATCTGGAAGCTATAGCTATAGGTGCTCGAACTGATGCCCCTTAACTTCAATTCACTGATGCAATCCATTTCTTAATGAAGAAACAATATTTTTAATTGTTTCTGAATCAAGTATTATCCCACGTTTCTTGAATTCTTTTTTTCATATTTTCTTGTGTCGTTGGTGGGTTAAAGTAAAATTAAAACATATATAAGAAAAGATATATATACATATACAGGGTAGGGCAATAACTATGTCCACTTTGAATGTTGCTGTTATTTGCAATAATATGAAAAACTGTTATACAGGGTATAACCAAAATGTCCTCCGACACGGAAATAGGACACTCGGGGGGTGAATTGGAACAACTTTTTCCTTAGCAACAATGTAATCTGAGGCTTCGTTACGGAGATATTAACGAAAAATCCCGACCAATCAGAGCGCGAGTTTGCCAGCCGAGTTCCCACGCTAGCGGTAGCTACGCGCTGCGCTTGGAGCTGCGAACAAGTAGGTCAGCATGCATCGCAGGAAATTGCGTATAATAGCAAATAAAAAAGACGTAACAAATAAAATCATACTTTTTATCATCTGTCGTTTTTTATTTAAAGAGATTACTGAATGAAGCATAAATGTAGGAAAATTGTGTGTAACGTAAAAAGACGAATGCACAGTTACTTTTTTAAACAGAATGGAAAGTAATAATTATTTGAAGTGGGAGGCTCAGGAATTTATAAATTCTTTTTTCAAACAACGTTTTAACGAAAAGGTAATGTAACAATTTTTTCATATTATTACAAATAACGGCAATATTCAAAGTGGACGTAGTTATTGCCATATATATAAATTGTTCAAAAGATTTATAGTATTAATATATGTTACACTCAAACGTATTACACACAATTTGTATTCATTTCTTTCTAATTAATTCCCAAAGAAAAGTTATATTTTTACCAAATCTGTCTACCTATGGTCTGTTTATCGAAAGAAGAGCCGTGGAAGGTAGGCCCGACTTTTCGCGGTGTTGTCGCGATCGCGACACGTCTTCTGCGCTTGTGTCTCTCTCACTCTTCGCGTCTTGGCCAATGACGTTCGACCGTCGACGTGCGTCCTCGTCTACGGTTGTCTGTCTCCATCGCACGTATTACAAACCCCTCGAGAAAGACCTACCTACAATCTCAGATAATGGCAACTGCGTTCGGCACGCGCCCGTCAGTCATCCATTGTTTGGAAATGACGGAGAATGTTGACGAGACGCTGAACGTTTTCACACGTCAAGAGTTAAAATGCATGAGTAAGGAAAAGTTTATTTCTTTTGAAAGAATGTATTGTACCCAAATATTGAGCAACATATTAAAAGGGGATTAAATTAATACGTAGGTTATTAAACGCTATACGTGGAAATCGCAGGGGAAAGAAGGAAGTTGGTTTACCGAGCGTCTGAGCGAGAGGCTCTCGTGCTGCAGTGCCGGAGGATGGAAAGAGACACACAGTGGCATTGAGCCGTCACAACATCGCACGTAGTATGCAGCTCGCGTTGAATCCCCACCAGGCCACGCGTCGAGACAGGGCGACCCCCGAGGGCTCTTCTTTAGAAAAACAGACCATAGTCTCCGTTATTTAATCTCTTGTTTCAATAAATAGTTATTGTTGTTCACCAAGTATTTGTTCTATTGCCATAATTATTCACACAAAGTTAAGTCGACGGATAACATGACAAAGCTCTAAGGCAATCGCGCTGAAGATTTGTGACGCAACAACTCATGAGCCTTTTTGAGTATCTATCGGTTCTGGATTTCTGAAGAAGCGGAAAGATGTCTTTTTCGATTATTAGGCTTAGGGGAGGCAATTTGACGACGGTCTGAATAGCCTCTCTCCTTGGGCGAGTGGGATGAAGCTGTATGAGTGAAAGTAGTAGGGCTACCCAGCCGATCGGTGCCTTAGGCGCGAAGTTATTCAGATTAGAATGGAGGTCCTAGGTATATGAGGAAATGTCATTCAAGTCTTCTATGGTATAAGCTCGCCGTTATCACCCTAAGTTTTAGCTAGTCAATGCGCGCAGACTCGCTTTCAGTTTCTTTCACTATGAATACAATGAATATAAATTTCTTACGTATTCGAATTTTATAGTACCGAAATCTTCCTCGAGAAACGATACCTTACAATGAAATTTATTAAGGTATAGAAGATTTTATTGTCGAGTACCTATGTTGTCTTATAAAGACTTGTAGCATGTTGTAGACTGTGGCTCGGTTAAAGCATATGTATATTAGAAATAGATAACCTTTCTGTGAATCAGTTATATAGGACGATTTTAAATTAATATTAGGGGTAGGTTGTTAAATTTGGACTATCACCTAGGTTGGACCATTACTGTAACTCGTCGTGTGTAAGCAATTTGCGTTTTATGATAGACAATATGTGTTGCTTATATACTAAGTTGCTTAATGGTATCACAACTATCATAAACATATTATCTATCATACGGCGAAAATTGCTTACACATGACATATTGCAGTAGTGGTCCAACTAAGCGAAGGTCCAAATTCGACAACCTCCCCCTAATAAAGTGGAAGTTAAACAGAGTATTAAAAAGAAAGAGTCTAAGACCTTAGAGGCTTATAGTACTCGCCGCGTGAAAAATGTCTTATCAACATAGGTCCTAAAATAAATTCTTTCGATGTAAACAAAATTTTTATATTTTCACGAGCATTCGATGTCGTGAGTCACATCGCAAAATATTGAACGTAAACAGAAGTATTGTTTTAGAAATACTTCAGTGCAAGTTGTATGACGACAGGCGATGCGAGATATGGCACAAATATCTGAAACTTGTACGTTGTCTCTGATGTTAGTTTTGTACTGAAATAGAAGACATATCGAATATCTGTAACAAATGTGAAAATAAACTTCTGTATTTTTCATTGAAA